GAGAATGACACAGAAAAAAATCATAGAGGAGAGGAATATACAAAAGAGCTACAATTCAATATTGTTTTTTTAAAAGTTGGACAATGATCAGGGACCATTTTCATCTTCAGAATTAAGGATTATTTTAATTTTACATCATTGCCTTTTCTCTTTTACTTTCCTTTTTAGTTTTATTTTAGGATTCCCTATTTTTAATGTTCATACAGAGATTTCTTTAACTGAAATACCAAATAGTTTCTCTGGTGTGAAAAACTATAATAGTACACAAGATCCTAATGAGATAATTAATAATGTGAAATATGAAGTAAAGGGCTAAAGATGTAGGGAAAGTGGGAAGAGTGGGGGAAAGGTAATAAGGGAGAGGAAAAAAATATGAGAAAATGAAAAAAATGGAAATAAAGTGTTTGTAAAAGGGAAGGGAAGGAGGGGGGTGAAGGGAGGGCAGAGACAAGGGGGAAAAATGAGAACCAAGACCTGTCATGTAAAGGTACAGGATCCCAATAATGAATGTAACTGTACTGTATACCTAGATTGCACCAATAAACTCAATTTTAAAAAAAGTTGGACATTGAATTTTAATGGGTCTTTAATAATCTACATAGAAAGAATGTTTCTGGGAATTCCAGGTCTCTGTCCTTGGCCCGTGCACAAATGGATGAGTCTGGACACACCTAAGCTAGCACCTAACGCTTCCAGACACAGGATAATATTGAAGAGCTGTCTATGTAACCAGAGTTTCTGAATGGTCCTTGAGACTCCCTCTCCTCACTGTACAAGGAGACACACAGGAGGCTGGGTACAAAAGGTGTCACTAGTGTGAGAAATAGAGAAATGACAGTGAGAAAAACACAGTTGCCTGGGATAACAACAGCAATAGGAAACTGTCAGATATGCTCAGAAATGAAAATAAAGGTCTGCATGACCCTCAAAATCACTATGGTGCTTTGTACTTCTGCTGTCCCATCTACAGACTGTTCAAAAAAAAAGGAATGCATATGCCTTGTAGGGACACAAGTTGGAGACAAAGAGAATAATCAATCTGTCAGCTGGCAGGGCTGACTCAAGGCACATTAAGTAGAGGACTTTATTCTGGAGCTTCTCCTGCACACCACCTTCTTCCAACTTCCTTCCCCTCAGCAAGGTCAGACTGTGGGACTCACAGAGTAATTTGAATTTTGAAAGGAAATAAAATTTAACACAAAGAAATGCATCTTCCAGACTTGTGCTAAGTAACCATACCCCTCCGTTGGAAATCCTGACAAGAATGGAAACAGGTCTGGTCAGTAGAAGGGGTGCTGACCTGACCGGCAGGCATTATTCCATTCCCAGGCAGTACCACAAACCTAGAAAACCTCACTCTGTTCACCTATGTTCAGAACTGTCTAAGCCCCCTGGATGCAAGGTACCAAAGAATTAACTAAGTCATTTCTTCACATTCTCAAAGGAGATAGTCTTACACTCATCTTTTTAAAATTCTTCACATTTCAAAGGCAATGGTCTGGGTGAAGTCAAATGGAAATCACAGACCTGCCCAGTGCTTCCAGAAATGTCCTCATGAGGAAGAGTATCCCATCAAGATCCCTCCCCGAAGGCAGAGGTTACTCTGAGTGGTATTTCTGCAAGGCAAGGTAGCACAGAGCCTGTTGCCGCTGACTTGCTTTCCAAGTCAGCTCTCCAGGTTAGTTCTCCATAAGTCACAGAAGGAAAACAAGCTCATTCTCTTTCCTTCACTCATTAAAAATAAGCCCAAATGGGACTCAGATTTAGAACACGTATACCAATGAAAAAGTTAAAGTTAGAGGGGAGGCACACACCCACATAATCTTTCCATTCAAAGAGGCACTACTCCACAACTGCTCTGGAGTTTATAATTAACAGACGAGCTTAACCAACAACAGAGGTTTCTGAAATCTTGTAATTTACACTGGAATCTGGCTTATTCCAAAGTAGATCACAACCAAGGGGCAGGATACCCTGGCTAAATCAGAAAGCCATGTGTGTGTGTGGTGCTGGGCCCAGGGCCTCCAGCATGCTAGACAAGTACGCTACTACTGAGCACTAGGTATTTTCACAGATTGCCTCCATTGGTGAAATCACAGTATTATATCCCCATTTGAAGTCAGAAAAAGCAGTACCTCCAGTGCATTCATTACCTGACTCGAGTTTACCCTAAGCTTCCTACCCCTAGGAGTACTACTGGAAAGAGCTCCTAGTTCCCAAATATACCCTCAAAGGCTAGCCAGGTTGAGCACCAGACCCTGAAGAATCATTAGCACGAAGTGGGCCTTACATGTGTGTCTCTAATCAGCACCCTCCCAAGTACCAGGGATTGAACTCAGAACCTTAAACTTGCCAAGTAGGCATGGCACCGCTGAGCTACATCCCCCGCGTCATGTTTCTAAACCCTGTCTGAATGCAGACACTCCCCTAGGAAGAGCAGATGGTTGGTCTCTGATCTGCCACAAACCCTCTGCAATCTTAGACATTGGCTCTCATCTGGGGCAGCAGCACATTCAAGAGGAGCTTACTGGGAGATAGAAGTGAGTTCCAACAGGATGAAGTGAAAGACCACCTTTGGGTTTTTTAATCTTTTCCAATAAGAAGGCCATTTATATAAATCAAAATTCTTCGTCCTACCTTCATAGAATTTGCATCTTATACTGATGTATTATAGTAACTGGTGAAATGTATAATAAATAGGGCTAAAGTATGAACTAGTGGTACTCACAGCAGAATTTTTATTTTAGTAAAGAACCACTTGGGAATCTGTAGTATTAGGTGTACTATATATACAGGAGTATAGGACTGACGGGTACAGTAGCATACTCCTGTCATCCCAGCTATTCGGGAGGCTGAGGCAAAAGGAATGAGACTTGGAGACCAGCCTGGGCAACTTAGCAAGAGCCTGTCGCAAAGTAAAATAAAAAGGTCTGGGATGTAGCTCAGTGGTAGAGTTTTTGCCTAGCATGCACAAGGCCCCAGATTTAATCTTCAGTACCCCTACCCACCCACATGCCCAAAAAAGTATTGGTCTTAGATGATTCCAGAAACACTTTGCTTGAAATCCTGCATTTAGCACTCACGGGCTAGGAAAGTCCTAGCTATCATAGCACACTGGGTATTGTTCTCAGATGAGCAGACCTGGGGGGAACCAGAGGCAGAGAACAAAGAAGTGGGAGCCCACAAACCACACTTTCCAGACTTTATCATTTTGATTAAGACCGGTACTGCAGCCCTTTTACCAATGGCCAAAATAAAATACTGACATGTGAATCATAGAGCAAGGGCACTTATTGCAGTAAGTAATAAATGAGAGAAGAGAGTGACAGTGACACAGAAGAAAATCAGCTTGTCTTGATGTCAAATTTACTTGGCTAAATGAATACCAGTAAAGTCGTCTAGGACAAACTTCAAGGCTCATCGTCAGTGAAACTTTGGTGTGCAAGTTTGAAATGGATTGAGTGAAAAGGCCAACAATAATAAAAATGGCACATCTACACATGTCTGTGCTAGTAAAAATTACATGGTCATAATTTAAGAACCTACCCTGTTATTTTCCACCAAAAAGAGACTCATTAAACACCATCACTACTAAAAGTATCTCACAAGTCTATGCTTTACATATATTCAAGCAAGATTCTTTAAAATAGGAGAAGATTAAAACCAATAAACTTAAACACAGAGGCTATGACAAATAAATGAAAAGCACTAAAAAAACTACTGTTTTCAGACAGGGTCTATGTAGCACAGGCTGGCCTCAAACTCACAGTGATCCTCCTGCCTCAGCCTTCCAAGCGCTGGGATCACAGGAATGCAACACCACGCCCAGCAGATTACTAAAATTTAAAGGAAATAGCTCCCTATCTTTCCAGCTTGTCTCTCCTGTTATTGTCTATTACCACTCTCGGCATATGGGAGAAGTTCAAGTCTGGATGGGCCAAGTGCGCTACACTCCTGTCTCCTGAGCAAACTTGCCTAAGTGCGTAGATGCTGGGTCTAACAGGCTACACCTCCGCCCCTAGTCCCTGATTCCTTCGCCTCACCCAAGAAAAATCACCCCACCATATATCTAGCTAATAGGGTATCCCCAGTGTTCTCCTCTAATGTATGGATCTGCATAACCTATGAGAAAGTGCCATGTAATTAAGTGCTCCTCCCCCATGGTTGTCCACATGTAAGCTATATAAGCCTGTGCATTTCCTAAATAAAAGCATTCCAGAAACTTCCCTGGAATCTGCCTGGTGATTCCATGCCTTTCCCGCCCAGTCCGAGCTCCTGAACTAAACCCCGCAGACCAAGCAGCGGACAACATCGGCACACTACTGAACAAGCTGTGAAACAGATTTCACCTTTATACCCATAAACACTTAGAGTGCAATAAGTTGTTGTCTCCGCCACAATTACTCACTCATATACACAGGCATGAACAGTCCTACCTGCCCTTTCTACTCAATCCTGGAGGTCCCCTTCTTTCTCCTCCACTCCAGCACGTTCCCCATTATTGCACCACGACTTCCATGACAGCACTCACCACAGGAGAGGCCACTGGAGCCACCTCATCCCTACAAGTCACTCACTTTTCTACTCCTAAAACCCAACACAGTGCTTAGCGCTACACATATGTTTTACAAAAGTATATTGGAGAAGCAATGGCATGAACAGGTAATTAAGGAGAAAAGCTGCTACTGAATATATGAGAATTATTACTCAAAACTGTGTTAGCTTTCAATTACTGGGGAAAAATCAACCAACTAGTCACCTCACCTTCTGTGGTAAATGTTATTACATATGCTATGAAGGAAGATGAGAAAGGAAAGGTCTATTTCTCTATCAGAAGATTTGAATTAGACACACGGTTCCAAACAGTAAGGAATCTTGCATTACTCAAAAGAGCAAGAGCCTCCCTGGAAGATAAACACTTGTGAGGGAAACTGCAACAAGCCCTCGCTCATCTGCCTTCCAGTTCCCCGATAATTGAGGGACGCATGAGGAGCACTCACCTGGCTTGTTTCCTTCCCTCTCGTGGCCCAGCTGCCCCTTGGTGTTCAAACCACACGTGTAAACCTCCCCATCCTCCAGCAGGAACACAGAGTGGTTTCCTCCACAGGCCACCTCCTTGACACTTCTGTCCGATATGAATCCACACACCTGCGGCTCAGCCACTATTCCTTGCAGATTGGTGCTGATACCTGGTTGGCCCAGAGACCAGTATCCCCAACATAACATTGTTCTTCTCCTTCAGGCAGTCATGTAGCCTAAAAGAGAGTTTTATGAAGGAAAGGATTAAAAAAGATAAAAATTAAGAAAAAATAGGTCAGAGGAAGCCAATTAAGTAAAAAAAGTAACCAATTTAAAAAATAATCCTTCTGCTAATGTTCCTCAGACATAGTACCTCTCAAAATAAAACATTAACATGACAGTTACAAATTACAATGATGCTGTTTTATGCTTCAGTAAGAATTTTAAGGGCAATTTTAAAAAATATTTCGTGTGAATGAGCTATAGTTTGCAGATCTCAGGCAGAACCCCTAGTACAGCAAATTGGTTGACATACGTCCTTGCAAACTATAAAGTGGTAACAGTTTTTAAATTACTCTCATGACCTTATTCTTTCTCAATATACCTTTTTTTTAATTTTCTTCTTACTGGATCCTTTTAAAAAGTTTGAACCAGTTAGCTCCTCTAGGTAACCCTGTTAGCTTGGTTAGTAGTATTTCACCACTTGAAAGGAAAATAAGAAGCGGGAAAAAAGTCATCTCAGCCGTCTTACCTATGGCCCACGTCTGAGACAAGCTTCACTTCTAGTGCAACTCTGAGCCCATTCCAGTGACACTGCATTCCTCTCACAAGGCCACTACACTGCCTTAACTGGCAGCCTTTTCTTTAAACCTTGATAATGTAATGCCCCACCAGATTTTAATCTCCTTCAACACAAACCACTCAGGCTTCTTTTATTTAGCAGGTACCCAGTCAATTTTGGCCAGCTGATTACTGCTGACACTAGCTTAGTTTCACAATCTTTTAAAAATGCATGTTTCTCTTTCATACAAATGAAAACAAAAACTCTTCTCTACCAGTTTGTGTCCCCTAGGATGGCCAGATAATAACAAGTGTTGATGAAGGTGTGGAAAAAAAACGACAGCACTCCTACACTGCTGATGGGAATGGTGTAGTGGCTTTAGAAAACAGTCTAGCAGTTTCTCTAAAGATTAAAACAGAGCTATCATATGATCCAGCAATCTCACTCTTAAGTACATACCCAAGAGAACTGAAAAAAAAAATCCACACAACACTTGTCTGTGAATGTTCACAGTAGCATTATTTATATCAAAAAATGGAAATAACCCAAATATCCATCACGGGTGAATGGATAAACAACATTTAATCTATCCAATGGAAAATTATTTTCCCACCACATGGGTAAGCCACAAAAACATTGTAAGTCAAAGAAACGAGTCACAAAACACAGAAATGTCCACAAAAAATAAATCTACAAAGAGAAAGATCAGTGGTTGCCGAGGGCAAGAAGATGGCAGGGGAATGAAAAATGACTGCTCCAATTTCTTTCAGGGAGTGGTGAGATGTTCTGAATTGTGACTGTGACAATGCTTATACATCATGGTGAACATACTAAAAACCTCTGGATTTTACACTTTCAGTTGGCAAATTTTATGGTATGTAAATTCTCTCGATAAAGATTTTTTTAAACTGTTCCCAAATCTTCTCTTGCTTATATGTGTATAACCTTGAGTCCATACCAGCCAATAAGACTGTTGAGTTCAATTACTGAAACTGTCATTACAAAAATAATATGCACAAAATGCTTCATACAAACCATTTCTCCTAAAACATAGGAGAGGGAGGAACAATCCTCAGAGCTACTATGGATAACTGTGGAGTTGTCAATATTCTATTGGCCTTTTCTGCTTACAAAGACTTAAGAAGGAAAACTTTGTCTATGCTTTGATCAGAAACAAAAATCACGTAATTTCATACATTATTTAACTTTTACTATTGCTAAATTTGGATCGAGTAGGTGGTTCTTCTCTTCAGGAAAATACCTAGTAGGTTCCTCTAGCCCTGAAAGAAAGGTCCAAGATTTAAAGAAGAAAAGGAGATAGAGGAGATCTAAAATGTCCCCCAAAAGGCTCATGTGCTCAGAGGTAGGACTTCTGGAAGGTGACTTGATCCTGGAGGCAGTATGCTTGTCACTGGAATATGCTGACAGAAGGGTGGAGCCCAGTTGGAGATGGAAGGTCACTGGGGGCAAGCCTTCAAAGAGAGTATCTCTATCTCTCTGGCTCTTTCCTTTTTCTCCGCTCCTTGGATGTTATGGATTAAGCAGTTTTCTTCAGACTCTTCCACCATGCTTTTTCTGCCTTAGGGCCAACCAACCAGAAATTAAACCCTCTGACACCAGAAGCCAAATAAACCTCTCCTCAAATTCTGGGTGTTAGTATTTTTTCCCAGCCATGGGGAGAAAAACTGATTAATACAATGTCTCATAGAAAAGTAGAAGGCATGGGAGTATGACTCAGTCTTAAATTCTAGCATGCTTGAGGCCCTGGGTTCAATCCCTAGCATTAAAAAAAAAAAAAGAAGAAGAAGAAGAAGAAGAAGAAGAAGAAGCAGCTCCTGATTAACATGCCAAATTAAGACAGGAGTAAATAAGTCAATCCTATAATATGGCCATAAGTTTGGAACATGGCTAGTAAGTAGTGGATTCTGTAGAGGAGAGCAACAGAACTTTGAGAACAGTGTCGCCTAACACTCACCTTGAAGTTGTCACCCATCCTGTGATTACATTTCAGAATCCCAAACTTTGTGTCAAAATTAACACAGAACTCACTCTCACAATAATTTTACTTTTCTAGCATGGCTAAAATCAAACAAACCTTGGAAAAGTAAGCTCATTTAGTCCCTCATGAATACTATATGAAAAATAAGAATTCTGGGTGAACGACAATAGGAGGACATCTTTCTTCACCTCAGGAGTTCTTAAAAATCTGGGGAAGACTAAACCTCTAATCAATGCCTGATGTTCTTTAGCTTAAATCACTTTATCTAGATGTTAAAGGAAATAATGCATAAGACTGGTCCTAAAAGACATTCAGATTATATTTCAGTTCCCAAATACAAATTTTATATACTATGAAATATTTTTATCTATTTAAAACTGCTCTTCTTCCCATATTGAGAATCAATTTCAAATTCTAGATGTCAAAGAAAACAGAATTTCCAGACAAGACCACAGATGTCAATGGTGTCCTACCTAATCTTTTGCCAATGGAAAGAGGATAGATTCTAATGGAAATGGAAAAATCTTACCTTGAATTACATTACTAGATAGAACATATCAAAAGCTGAATTTATCAGCCTATCTATAGAAGAGAGTTTTTGCTAATATCTTTGAATCTAAAGGTACAAAGCAAATAGCTAATTGGCTTTTCTGTGCAAACTTAGCATTTAGCCATCTTTTTATTTTCTTTTTTGTGGTGCTAGGGATTAAACCCAGAGCCTTACACAAGTTGTACACACTAGGCAAGCACTGTACCACTGAATGATTATCCTCAGCCCCTCTTTCTTTTTTGAGATATGATCTCACTAAGTGGCCTCAAACTTGTGATCCTCCTGCCTCAGCCTCGCCAGTAGCTGCAAAATCAAGTTTTAAAATAACATACTCCTTTCTACCAACATAAAACCATGCCCAATTTAAACACTCCAACACAAATGAATTCTTTCAACCCTCCTCAAAAACAAATACAGTATACTTTGTCCTTACCTTGGTGACATTAATTTGCATATACAATTGCACTATGGTGATCCTGAATTACTCTGAGATCATCAGGCTTTCAGACAACACGTGAAAAGGCCCAAAATAAAATATAAAACTAAATCTCAATTTGCTATCTTAACTAGATAGTTCTGCTTCTCCCAAAGAGTTTAATTCCTTCTCTAGACTTTATAGTATTAAAATGTTATTTCTTAGATTAATTCCAAAGGTTGGGGAAAAGGGAACAGAGTTAAAATGAAAACTGGTATTGTGGTGGTATAAAGATAGGATCATGCAATCTATTCATAATTTAATTTTCCAAACTTGCCCAATTACTATTATCCATGCCAATTTTCATCTGCATTTTAATGTTTCATGACCGTCTTCTCTCTCCTACCACTAACTACATAAGCAACATCACAGTGCACTATACATCAGTCTCTGTGTTCATAGCATTTTATATCTTCACCTCACTGAATTTCACAAAACCCTGCACCAACAATAGTACTATTTCCAGCCTCACTTTCAAATAAAGCAAGGCTCAGAGCAATTAAGAAGCATGCCCAAAGTTACACAGCTACAAGTAACAGCACCAGCCAATAAATCTGAGCCCGACACCAATGTCTATACTTACCCACAGGACTACACTGCTACCCAAGTAGATCTGTGTGTCACCTACAGTATCCAACACAAAAACGACTTAGTGCATGACTAAATTGTAGTCACTGTACAACACAGAGTACCCTGAAAACTGAAAATGAAGTTGCTGCTTGAGAGTGGAACTAGCCAGAACTAAGAAATAATAAATGAGGTTAAGCAGCTGTAGGGCTAGCAGAGTATGAATATCACGTCTAAAGGTCTAGCTCAGCAGTGCCTGCCTCACGGGCACTCTGATCTCCTGGCTTCTCCCATCCACTTGCTGCACTCGTTGTCTCTCCCTTGCTTTTACAGCAAGAGTAAAATCTTTAATTTCCCTTCAACACACACAATCCGTCACAGAATAATATGAGACCATTTTTCTCAAGTGTCCCACACCACCTCAGCCCCAGCCCCTCCATTTCCCACCTCTTATTTCCCCTCACAAAGAAAACAAAGGATGACTTTCCCTCCATGTCACATGTGGCACTTTGCTCAGTCCTTCTCCTGATTTATTTTTGGTAGATAATTCAAGATTCTCCTTTTTGTTTTCTTTTTTGAGATAAGGTCTCACTATTAGTTCAGGCTGGCCTTGAGCTTACTATGTAGCCTAGGCTGGCCTCAAAATGCAGCTCTCTCCTCCTGCCTCAGCCTCCCAGGTGCTGGGATTTAGGCCTGTGCCACCACACCTGGGCAAGAAAACTGACGCTCAAGCCTCTGAGTTAACCACAAGCTTGCTGGGAAACCTGGAAGATGTTTAAGTGCTCTCAAATGGAGAGAAAAGCAACAGGATGCTGTGAGAGTTAATGAGAAAATGCATGTAGAAAGTGCTTAGAATGGTGCCAGTCATGCAGTAATGAGTGACCAATAACATCAGCTGCTATCATCACTGTTCTTCCTACTCCTAGTGTGCAGCTTTGAGGCCGTTAGGCAAAATGGTTCCCAAAAGAGGCTAGAGGAACAATTCTCCCTCTGTGATTACCATTAAGTCAGTTCCGTCAAATCTGTAGCATGTACAGCAAAGTAGTATTTCCACCATCTGCCATAATTTTCGTGGAGAAGAGGTGAGGCTGTGTGTATTTTCTTTTGAATTCTAGAGAGGATGGCAGTTGGGGGCAGGGAGGCTTGCCACCAATCCTAGAGAATTGAATGCTAAAAGACAAACTTCAATTCTCAAACTCTGTCTTATCATCAGTATATGCACACAGCACCCTAATAACTGATTCTTCTTCCTTGTCTGAAACTCACTGAAACCTAAATAACATTCACGCAGAACTTCCAGTATTATTTAAAATAGGGATAAGCTTCCTTTGAAATAAGCCTAGAAGTGAACCCTTGAAAAATGACAGATGTGGAAATGTCTTTTTCAAGAGGAGGAAAGACAATGTCCAAAAGTTCAGTGCTTTGTAGATACCATACTTCTCCAAACAAAGCTTTAAACTAATTTAGATCCAAAACTCAAATGTAAATTAATTCCAGCAACAAAGAAAGTCTGACGTGCTTTATTGTCAAAACTTCAACTACAAGCAGCCAAAGTAACACAAAAGACCAACACATTTCAACCACATGAATCCACTCCAGCCGTTTCCTCCCTCTCCTTTACCTGAGCTGGTCCTCTAAGCTTTTCAGCCAACACAAGACTCTGCCTGATTGTCCCCTTACAGATGCTGCCCTCTTCACTACCTGTTGTTGCACTCTGTGAAACCAGAAGAATGACCTTGCTGCTGCCTTCAAAAACAACCAACCAGCCTGGCAAGAAGTGAAAAGTCTGATGATACCAAGGCACGGATCCAGGGCAGCCAACACTCCTACCCAGCTGGTGAGAGTAAAAACCGGCATAACAACTTTGGAGGATGAGCTGGCATTGTCTAGTAAAGAGATGTGAATACTGCACAGCTGAGTAATTCCACTCCCAAAAACACAAGTAGCCTGTTCATCTTCTTCAGAATCTATGTTGCTGCTCCCCTTACTGAGAGCTAGAGATCCAGATGAGTAAAACCTGGAGACTTGGAACTTTCTGCAGTGATGGAAATGCTGCTGTCTGCAGTGCAGAGGATGGCAGCCAGAAACCAAATGTGGCTGCTGAACACATGACATGTGACTGACAAAACTGAAGAACTCAAATTGTAATACTGCTTAATTTTGATAAATGTTAACTTTAATGTAGGTGCCAGTGGCTATCCTACCATGCCAGGCAGTGAGCAACTCATGAACAGAGGCACCAAGATATATGTATAGGAATGTTTATTTCAACATTATTAGAAATAGAAAAAATAAAACAAAACGACCCACATGTCCACCAACAAGAAAACTGCAGCACATGTGTACAATAAAACATGGTGCAGTGAAGAAAAATCGATTCCACCTATAAGTATCAGTATTGTCAAATCTTAAAAAGTTTTGAGTTAAAAATTCAGAGCACCATGCATTTTTACAAAGTTCACACAATTATAATAAACGCTATTTGGAGCTAAATGTATTTAGTAATGGTAGTAAAGTATGAAGAAATGCAAAAGATCACACATACAAAATGCAAGGTAATGATTACAGAGGCTGAAAGAATGGAGAAAATGAGGGAAGAAGACACAAGGAGCTTTAATGGGAGAGCTGATGTTCTTCTGTCCTTTTATTATTATAGCTTGTAACATACATTATTATATATATATTTATGCTAATATGTCACAATAAAAAAAAGAAAGCTGGGGACCTATAATCCCAGCACTCAGGAGGCTGAGGCAGGATGATCACAAGTTCAAGGACAGCATGGACAACTTAGCTAGACCCTGTAAAAGTAAAAAAGGGCTGGGGATACATCTCAGTGATAGTGGTAAGTAGGCCTACTTAGCATGTGTGAAGTCCTGGGTTCAATCTCTACACCACCAAAAAAAAAAAAAAAAAAAAAAAAAAAAAAAAAAAAAAAAAAAAAAAAAAAAAAAAAAAAAACTTTAAAAAAAATACACTTTTTTTTTAACCCC